TCCTTACAGATGGTGAGTTCTTCTCCTTTTATAGCTAATCCTAGGAGAAGAGGTAATGCCTTTGTCTTAATGAGGCAATTATGAGCAATAAATGACATTAAAAGAAACGTTACACAATCATTTATTTTTAAAACAAATATTCTAACGTATTTGATATTTAATGCTATATTTAAACTCTTTTACATCATCAGATTCGTATCTTCAACTTCTTCCGCTCTTCGGTCTTTAGATGACTTGGATAGGTACGAGACTCGTACCTATTTTAGTAACGGTCCGCACCAATGTTACTTTCTTTTTCCCTTATCTGTTGTCACCCGTGCCTCTTGGCTATTTATTGTGTTTTGACCGTTTGACCAGTCTACGTGTCATGCCACGTCACCTACAATGTAAATTCAGTTTTTTCCCAATACAGATATGTATATGGTTAAGTAGTGTTTGGTGATAGTTTTGAGTACTAAAGATTGACGACAATGTCTAATGCTTAAAATTAATACTATGAAGTAAGATTTGACATACTTATAAGGAAAACCTGAGTTCCATATAAGGAAAATCATTTAATTTCTTCTTTCGTGAAAAATTAGTTATTGGGGAAAACAATCTTGATAATTCAATATAAGCAAACTGTTGGTACCAATTTTCCGGTTAATTGTTCAATTCGATATTCTCTATTGTCTTGTTAAATCTGTGGATCGAAAAGATTATTTATTTGGGAATTATTGTTATGAACCACAATATCCTCCCTCTATTACTACGACTGAACATGTTTGTGAAACTGAATTTACTGTCTCCTGTCAGGTTACACAGCAAGAGATGAGATAGTAATTTTTTCTAAGAATCTATGCTTTTTGTTAAAAAATATTAAAATTTCAAAGTCATTATAATCTACAATTTTCTTTTTCAATCAAAAACACCGGAAGTAAGATGAGATTTTTTTTTTAAATTTAAAAGATAGCTCTTCAGTTTTCAGAACTTGCATTTGCAAAATTCACACAACCTTTGAGAAAAAAGCAAAAAAGAACTAAAATGTAGAAATTAACGCGGGTTTTGTTTTTCTAAGATTCTATGTCATTATTCAGAAATGTTAATAAATTCAAAATGCTACAATAAGATATCCCCTGTACGTTTCTAGTTATCTCTTTTCAATCTAAAATCCTTGAAATAAGATATCAAATCGACTTTTTTTAAAGACAAATGCTACAATAATCATATTCTCGAGAACGTTACTTTACAAAACTTGCATTTCATTTGCTAACTTCCGTACAACTTTTGAGATATAGAGAAGAAGCTTCCAGCTTTGAGATCGATCTAAAAGAGCTAAGATTATAATACCCAAAAGAAATAAACGTGAAACGTGGGGTTTTGCCCAAATAAATAAATAAATAAATTACTACAAGACATGATCTACATCGACCACTCCTGACCAAAAAAACAAAAACAAATTAATTGTCAAATAAACATATAAATTTAATATTGTTGTAGGAAAATATATATTCAAACAAAAATAACCATGCCATGCAGGTGCTTCAAATGGAACCTTCGCGGGCATTTCCAAAAAACTTTATTTAGAAAGAATTCCTTTCTTAGTTCCCATCTGTCAGGCATATATATAAATATTGTACGTTCTAAAACCCTAAACTCCACCAAAAGGAAAAAAAAAAAAAAGAAGAAGAGAAAAAATGAATTCAGCTGATCTTTCCCTCCTTGAATCCATACAGCATCATCTTCTAAATGATTCTAATATTCCAGAAATCTTTTCAGCTATGGATTCCAATAGCCCTAGTTCAAGTTTTAGCAACTCTCCTTCTACAGAAAACAACTTTTACTATGGTGAATTAACACCATTGATAAACCCTACTTTAGTAGGCGCCACTGAAAAGTCTCATGAATTTGAAGAGACTAATAATAAGGAGACTGTGGCGGCGAAGGTGGCAAACGCGCCACAAGATTGGAAGCGGTACAGAGGCGTAAGGCGGCGGCCTTGGGGCAAGTTCGCGGCGGAGATAAGGGATCCGAATAAGAAAAATGCAAGATTATGGTTAGGAACATATGAGACACCGGAGGATGCAGCATTGGCTTATGATCAAGCCGCTTTCAAAATTCGTGGCTCGAAAGCACGGCTCAATTTTCCTCACTTAGTCGGCTCAGGCATGCCGGAGCCGGCTAGAGTGAACCCTAGGCGTCGCTCGCACTCGCCGGAGTCGTCATCTGAAAACGGAACACCAAGAAAACTATTTGTGTAACTAGGTTCTATGTTTGCTTGTGTATTTTATTTGAGAGTAAATTTCTTTTTCTTGCTGAGGAGTAAGTTTTACTTGTAATGAGAAATACATATGTAAATTAGTTTAAGTCGTACTAGCTTTTGCTTGAGATGTAACATGATCCGTCTTCTATGATGAGATACTCATAGTGGTCATCGGAATGTCAAGCATCCGAAAGGTGGATGCGTATATTCGGAGACTCGATCAACCTTATCCGTAGGCCGTGGATATCAACGTTTACTATCGAGGATCTTGCTCCCACTAGCTAATATCTTGGCGTACTGGCTCGATTCTTAGCTAATATCTTGGTGTACTGGCCCGAAACTCGGAACGACAGTTTTCCCCACCACTATAAAGGCTGCCCCAATGCTCCAAGGTAGGAGCATTAGAAATAGAAGAAAAACTCTCTTGAATACAAAGCATCATCTTGAATTAGATTCTTTTAAATAGCTTCGCAATTCGACCACACCTGCTATCGGAGATCGCTGGGGGATTGAAAATTTAGAAGCATTTTCTCCTCTTCACCATTCTATTTAATCTATTTCGCTATTTCTTATTTATCATTGTTTGTTATTTGTAACTGTCTCGATCAAATAAATTGCTAGTAGCCCTGAAAAATAGAAATTTAATTGTTTATTCTCAAAACTAATTTTTGGTCAAACAGTAATCTCTTACAAAAACTAGTTTTCCACTTTCTCCTCAATCTTCTTCACAAAGATAATTAATGACAAGTAATAAATTATGACATAGAAGGTAATTAAAGTATGTACCAATTAAGACATAGAGAGATAATTCACGAAGAGCGAGAAGGACATGGAAACAATTATTTTGACGGCTTATATACACCGTCACCACGCATATAAGCTATTACACATGTTATTCACATAACATATAGTTCAAGGTTCCGAATTCCCTCAAATTAAGGTTAGATCCAATATTTACCTCACTCCGCAATCAAATCAAAGCTCAACTGGGACCTTTTCTCTAAAATTCGCCTCCAAACCAATCGAATCTAACCAAAATTGACTTAATATCATCAATCAATTTTAGGGAAATCAATTATAATAGATAAAGCAAAGATCTTTACACTTTTCTCAAAAAGTCAAAAGTCAACCCCGGACCTGCTTGGTCAAAATCCGAGATTCGGGCCAAAACATAATTACCCATTCACCCAAGAGTCCGATTATGTGATTAGTTTCGAAATCCGACCTCAATTTGAGGTCTAAATCTCAATTTTACAAAACCCCCAATTCTACCGAAATCCCTAATTTTCTACCATGAAAGAGCATAGCTTAAGGTTAGAAATCCATGGGTGTTGATGAAAATGAAAGAAAACGAGTTAAAGTATACTAATCTACAAAGTGGGGATAACTTTTCTCTTCAAAATCGCCTCTAGGTCGAGCTCTAATGTGAAAATGGTGGAAAATAAAGAAAGTTTCCGTCTTTGGGACATTTAAGTCACTGAGCGTCTGCCCCCTAGCCTTTGCGTTCGCGGCCCTTTGATCGCGTTCGCGTAGAACACATAGCTGATCCCCCTTCCAGGTCCATACCCATCGCGTTCACATAGCTTTGGTTGTGTTCGCGAAGGGTGATCCCACCACCGCTTCGCGTTCGCGACATCAACCTAGCGTTCGCATAGAGGAAATCCCACCCTAGCCTAGGTTACTCCTTGCGATCGCGGGAGTGACTTCACGATCGTGAAGAACAAAGCACCAGACACCAGAATCTTGAAACCAACACTGCTCCTAAGTCCAAAATCGATCCGTAGCCTATCAGAAACTCATCCGAGCCCCTCAGACTCCAAACCAAACATGCACACAAGTGTAATAACATCATACGAATTTGCTCGCATGATCAACACACCAAAATAACACTGAGAGCTACGAATCCAACATCAAAATGAAAGAAATTTTTAAAGAAACTCAAGAACATACAATTTACAACCGGACGTCAAATCAATTCCGTTTTGCACCAAATTTTGCAGACAAGTCATAAATGGTGAAATGAACATATTCCAAGTTCCAGAACCAAAATCGGAACCCAGTAGTAACAAAATCAACCTACGGTCAAACTTGGAAATTCTTTAAGCCTTCAAATCACTAGTTTTCAACAAATCACGTTAATTCAAGTTAGGGACTTCCGAATTTGATTCCAGGCATATGCCAAAGTCCTAAATTACGATACGGACCCACTGGGACCGTCAAAACACTAATCTGGGTCCGTTTACACAAAATTTTGACCGTAGTCAACTCAATGAGTTTTAATGCAAGTTTTCACATTTTCTTAAATTTTTCACATAAAAACTTTTCAGAACAAGAAATGGACTGCACATGCAAATCGAGGAACACTAAATGTGCTAGTCGAGGTCTTAAAACACGGAATTAAAGGCTAAAAATCAAAATGACCTTTTGGGTCATCATATTCTCCACCTCTAAAACAAACGTTCGTCCCGAACGGACATAGAAAGGTATCTGGACTGGTGTGGATATTTACTCCGCATGTCCGACTCAGACTCCCACGTAGATGCCTCGATCGACTGATCTCTCCACTTTACTCGAACTGAAAGATAACTCTTAGACCTCAACTTTTGGATCTGCAGGGGTAAAATGGCCACCGGTTCCTCCTTATAAGTCAAATCCTTGCCCAATTGGACCAAGCTAAAATCTAACACATGTGACATATCATCGTGATACTTTCGGAGCATGGACACATAGAACACCGGATAGACTACTGATAAATTACATGGCAATGCAAGCCTATAGTCCACCTCACCCACTCTCTCAATAATCTCAAAAGGTTCGATATACCTAGGGCTCAACTTGCCTTTCTTTTCGAACCTCATTACACCCTTCATAGGTGAAATCCAGAGCAATACTCTCTCTCCAACCATGAATGCAACATCACGAACTCTACGGTCGGCATAATGCTTGCCTAGACTGAGCTGTGCGAAGTCGATTCTGAATCATCTTGACCTTTTCCAAGGTATTCTGAACCAAATTGGTGCCCAACAATCGAGCCTCTCCCGGATCGAACCAAGTAACTGGCGAACGACACCACCTCCCGTACAATGCCTCAAAGGGAGCCATCTGAATACTCGACTGGTAGCTGTTGTTGTAGGAAAAATCCACAAGCGACAAGAATTGATCCCATGAACCCCCAAAATCCATAACACAAGGCGAAACATATCCTTTAATATCTGAATAGGGGTGAAATGTTATAATCAACTCAACCCGTGTGCCTAACTCACATTGTATGGACCTACATATGTGTAAGGTGAATTGTGTATCTTGATAAAAAATGATGGACACGGCCACACCGTGAAGACGGATGATCTCACGGATGTAGATCTCGGTTAACCACTATGAAAAATAGGTAACTGCCACTGTAATGAAATGTGACGACTTGGTCAACCTATCCACAATGACCCATACCACGTTGAACTTCTTCCGAGTCCGTGGGAGCCCCATAACAAAATCCATGGTAATACGCTCCGATTTGCACTCAAGAATCTCCACCCTCTGAAGCAAACCACCAGGCCTCTAATGTTCGTACTTTACTTGCCGACAATTCAGACACTGAGCTACATATGCAACTATATCCTTATTCATTCTCCTCTACTAATAATGTTGCCGAAAGTTCTGATACATTCTGGCCGCACCCGGATGGATGGAATACCGGGAACTATAGGCCTCCTCAAGAATCTACTCATGAAGCCCATCCACATTGGGCATACAAATCCGACCCTACATCCGTAAAACCCCATCATCTCCAACAGTAACCTGCTTGGAACCACCGTGCCGCACCGTGTCCTTAAATACAAGTAAATGGGGATCGTCATACTGATGCTCTCTGAAGCGCTTATACAAAGAAGACCGAGGGACCCTGTAAGCTTTAACACGAATGGGCTCTAAAACATCTAACCAAACGAACTGATTGGCTAAATCCTAAACATCTGATGCTAGGGGCCGTTCACCAACTGGAATATACGCAAGGCTACCCATACTCACCGTTTTTCTACTCAAGGCATCAGACACCACATTGGCCTTCCCCGAATGATACAAAATGGTGATATCATAGTATTTCAATAACTCCAACCACCTCATCTGCCTCAAGTTGAGATCCTTTTGCTTGAAAAAATACTGTAGACTCCAATGATCTATGAATACCTCACATGACTCGCCGTAGAGATAGTGCCCCCAAATATTCAGCGCATGAATAATGGCTCCTAACTCTAAGTCATGAACATGGTAATTCTTCTCATGTACCTTCAACTGCCGTGACACATAGGCAATCACCTTGCCCTCCTGCATCAATACTGCACCGAGCCCAATACGAGATGCATCATAATACACCATATAGGATCCTGAATATGTGGGCAATACCAACACTGGCGCCATAGTTAAAGCTGTCTTGAGCTTCTGAAAGCTTAACTCACACTCATACGACCACCTGAATGGAGCACCCTTCTGGGTTAATCTAGTTAATGGGGATACTATGGATGAAAACCCTCCATGAACCGCTGATAATAACCCACCAAACTTAGGAAAGTCTGAATCTTTGTATCTGAAGTAGGTCTAGGCCAGTTCTGAACTACCTCAATCTTCTTAGGATCCACTTTTATACCCTCTTCGACACAACATGCCCCTAAAAAGGTGATTGAGTCTAAGCAAAACTCACACTTTCAAAACTTGGCATATAACTAACTATATCTCAGAGTCTGAAGTACAATCCGATGATGCTGCTCATGCTCCTCTCGACTGCGGGAGTAGATCAAGATATCTTCAATGAATACGATCACAAAAGAATCCAAATAGGTCTTGAACACCCGGTTCATCAAATCCATAACTGCTGCTAGGGAATCTGTCAGCCCAAAATGACATTACTAGGAACTCATAATGCCCATACCGAGTCCGAAAAGCCATCGTAAGGATATCCAATGTTCTAATCTTTAATTGATGGTAGCCAAACCTCAAATCAATCTTCGAAAACACCTTGGTACCCTAAAGCTGATCTCATAATTCATAAATCATCAACAACGGATACTTGTCCTTGATACTGACTTTGTTCAACTACCAATAGTCTATACACATCCTTATCGACCCATCTTTCTTCTTCATGAATAACACGGGTGCACCCTAGGGAGAGACACTAGGTCTAATGAATCCCTTATCAAGCAAATCTTGCGACTACTCCTTTAATTCTTTCCACTCCAGTGGGGCCATATAGTATGGTGGGATGGAAATGGGCTGAGTGCTCGAAGCCAAATCAATATAGAAGTCAATATTCTATCGGGTAGCATCCCCGGCAGATCTGCAGGAAACACCTTTGGAAACTCAAGCACAACAAATACTGAATCCATGGAAGGAACATCTGCACTCGAATCACAAACATAGGCCAAATAATCTAGACACCCCTTCTCGACCATACGTCGAACCTCGACATAAGAAATAACCCTACTGGTAGAATGGCTAAGAGTCCCTCTTTACTCTAATTGAGGCAACCACAGCATGGCTAAGGTCACTGTCTTGGCATGACAATGGTGACAACCAATCCATGCCCAAAATAACATCAAAGTCTACCATATC